CCCATTTTGATACGATCCGTCGCTCCGTGGCCAACAAAAGAAAAACCAAGTCAAGGCAAATTGCTCATCCCTGAGCACCAGGTATCGTAATCGAAAGTCTTTGCGCTCCTTCATTTTGCCCATCCGCTTCCAACGACGAGACCGACTGAACCGATTCCCTTACGTTCTCCTTTCGCATCTGATTATTGATTACCATTACTTCTTCAGGCGGCGTATCGTGCTCCGTAGAGACCGTCCGTAAAGGACTAGGTAAAGAGGCATCATTTGTTTTGCTATCCGCATTTGCATGTTGTGACTTGTCCGATAGTTTGCTGACTTCGTTTGGTACTTGGTTCGTTGACATCCTCGGAGATAATTCTGTAGGTGTTGTGACATCTCTTGGTTGTATCTCTCCCTTCTTTGCGAGCTCTACAGTCAATTCTTTCTCTTGGTCGCTTCTGGTGTCTCCACTAAGTCGTGGACTTCGACTCAGTTCCTGGCTAACTTGCTGTGCAGGGACAACTCCGCCTCCCATTCGGCACCAAAACATTTGTTCTCGCAATCGCACGCTTTCCTCCCAAGCAGCTTTTTCAGAAGCCTCGTCATCCGCTCTCCAATGGCCCTCCTTCAGGATTCTCAGGAATCCAAGAAAATCGCAAGTTGAGCGAACACGGCCGTGGCAGTATCTGCAGAGGGGATACTTCTGTGCATTCTCGTTTTCGCTAGTTCTAAACCGATGGCTTCGGATATGCGCAGTATCTTCGCGAGACTCTCCACATAATGAACATGCAAACGCATACGGTTTGGTTGATGATGGCATAGGTTCTATAACAAGGAATCCCTCGCAAACGGCATTTAATACCGTTCTCCGGGCTAGCCAAGAAAGACCAGGAGCACTGTCAAGTCGTAGTGTCGGCTCGATGTCCTCTGCCAATGCCCTCTTGTAGAACTTTGTGTCTTTAAGAGGCGTCAACGAGTTGGGTCCGTTTGAAGAACTGCTGCTAACGGAAGATGCGGGGGTGGTTGGAGTGACGGGAGAGGACCCATGTGAAGTGGAGATTGATGTGGTTGAACTATTACTCGCACCACCAGTATACCCACCAAGACCAAGGCCTAATCCAATTGCGCCATATGATCCGCTAGACACTCTGCTGCCCATCACATTTTTAGACATCCTTAAAATGGAAGTAAAATCATCGTATGCGGAGAGATCCGTTCGAAGTACAAGTTGTACGATATGCGTGAAGCTCGTAGGGTATGATGGTGATACAGGGTCAGGTATGGAGGATGGCTGTGGCCCTTCTGAACTATTTCTCAGCTCGTCCTTGCTATCGAATTTGCTCAGACCGGGAGTGGATGGGGCCGTGAGATTCGACGATTCCTCTCGCTCCTCGGTCATCTGCTCCATGACTTGTTTCAATTCTGCGAGCTGTTCCTGATGTGACTTTAATAAACTCTCGGTATCTGCGAGCTGTGCTTTGAGTTGGTCGTTCTTCTTCTGAACCATGTCGTGGTCTTTCTGGGCGGACTCGCGCGCAGTAATGACCATCTATAGGGGTCAGCAAGCGGACATTGGACCATGGGCAAGGCTGCTTACCTTATTTGCCTCTTCAAACAATGCCGTCGTCAGATTCTCAAGTTCCTGCTCGATACTCTTCTTTTCTTTCTCAACTTCCGCTCGCAAACGTCTCTCCTCGGTGAGTTGTGCAACCACTTTACTCTTCTCAACCTCGGCCACGGACTTCCGAATTAAGATCCCACGAGCCAACAATTCCGCATGGTCTTTATTTTCCTGTTCAAGCTGCTTGACTCGTTTTTGTGATTCCTCCAAGGCATGTCTTGTTTCCGAGAGCGAGTCGTCCAGGTTCGTTTGGTGATTGATGGCGCTAATCAATTTGTTGCTTAGGGTAGCAACCTCATTGCTGAGGTCTGGATGGGCCCCAGGGGCATTGTCGTTGGCAAAAGACACGGCTCGACTTCGAGGGTCTGGCAATGTACTCATGTTGCCATCGGCATCGCTGTACAAAGGACTTATGGACTTCGGTGGAGGTATCGGTGGCAGGGCTGCATCGCTTGCCACCGAGGCCATTGAGTGCAATGCACCGGTTGATACGGATTTCGCGACGGGTCTTTGGACAGCTTTCGGCTTTCTCGCGGTGTCTTTGGAGGAGAGGGATCGTAATTGTTGGAGGGTTTCCTGGGGCGTGGGATGGTAACCTTTAGCCCAACCGGCTTGTATTAGTCTAGTAAGAAGTTGGTTAGTATGGAAGAACAATGGACTCCCGGGGAGGTTTAGCAGATTGCATTGTTCACATACTCTGACATCTTGGCCTGCTTGACCTGGGGGTCTGCTGGTAGGGGCAGCGTATAGTCTGTGGGAGAGGAATTGTGGATTGAGTTTGTTTGGATGGGCCGACTGCGGTTCGAGGGGATCTCGGAGATGGGGGCTCAAGTCGGAAGCGCGGGCTGAAGCAAATGAGAGTGAGAGTGAAAATGAAGATGCGGATGCGGATGATGAGTGAGGCGTTGAGTCGAGCAAGCAAGGGAGCATTTGCTGCTACTGCAGCTTCTATGAAGGAAAGAAGGGGATTATGGGCAAGACATTGATACGATAGAATCGTCGCTGGGGGAGAGTTTCGATCAGCACCGAGGGCGAAAGGGTGCTGCCCTGAGTGCGAGTGCGGGTGCTCGCGTACGGCCTTTACAGAGTAGCTAGAGCAGCAGGCTGGCAGCAGCGTAGCGCGGTTGGGGCTTGTGCCGGGAGGTTCGCCTGGGCGTGGGCTTGGCAAGGGCAGTGGAGTGGGCGCTTCTCGTTTCTCGGGCTCGGGGGATGTGCAAAGATCACAGGCTGCCGTGGCTGCGAAGCGGTTGTGGAGTACAAGCACCGCAAGTAGTGCCTTGGTTCAGGTTGGTTGGGTGAGGGTTCAATGCGAGTGGCGCTGTGGGCGAGAGCCGAGAGGAGATGCCTGCAGGTGCAGCACTGCAGGTGGTGAAGATTGGCTGCTGACCCGGTCGTTTTTTCTGCGCCCGCCAAAAATGAACAAGCTCGCGTCATCAGTCCGAAGGAGAGGGGATGCAAAGGGCAGAAGGGCAGAAGGTGCGGAGTACTGTACCACTGTACCGAGTATTGATAGAGCACTTGAGTCGTACACAACCTACGATGCACGATTACCAAAGATATGGCAATGAAGTGGAGTAGCATAGACTAGTAGAGTAGTAGAGGTACGAGTAGACCTAGGTAGAATACTTGGGTAACGGAGCAGTGAGTAGTAGAGTAGATAGGTATGGTAGTAGAATACCGCTTGTTGCTGTTCTACTTCTGCTTCTGCCTCTCTGCGTGTATATCCAGGTATATTTTGAATCATACAATGCTTCTAGTGCCTGGCACTGCTGCACTGTACACTACACAGTAGGTTGTATCATATGCATCAAAAACTTCAGCCTCACATGTCAAGCTTGGTCCCCTTCTTCCCGCCTGATATAATGAAGCACCACCAGACTCAGGCTCAGACTCATGCGCCGCACCATGCCGAATATCCCCATACTCTTTACCGTGTCATCCGACAATCCAATTCAACAAATGCCATATGCACATCCATCGCAACCAGCACAGCACGAGCACTGCTACTGTAACAACTTTTAGATGGACACTCGGCGCGGTACTTATCAAAGCGTCCATGTTCAGTTCATGCCTTGCTGAGCTATTCCTTGTACTGGTATTCATGCCAACCTTTGGACCATGGTTCGTACTTGGTACTCCATACCATAAGAGTAGCAGGCGCAAGTCCTGTCCATACTCATACTGTAAACGCCATTACTTGTGTTGTAGTACAAAAACAAAAAGTACATGAATATCTTCGCTTCACACACAAACTTCAATATACAAGCGAGAGTTCTACCAGTTGTTGTTACTAGCGACTAGCGAAACAACCCCCCTGATATACTTTCGGGAGCAGTCTTTACAGTACAGTATGTTGATCAGCACTCATGAAGAGAAAGGGAAGCCTGCCAAGAAGATCATCATGCGTTCCAAGAAAAGCAACGAACTGGCTCCTTGTACTTCCACATCTGGTAGTGCAACGGCTCGACAGCTATAGCTATGATATCATAAAGTGTCCATCACGAACCAAGTCTGAGAACAAAAACTCGAGAGAAGCTGCACCTTTTCTGCCGGTTCTCACCAACCTACCCCGGGGAATTTTTCTTTTTTCTTTTTCCTTCTTTTCTTCTTCAATTAACTTCCTGTTCGAAGATCCTCGCACATGTTCATAGAAAGCATGGTTGGTGTTGCAATTCATGTTGTAGTCCACACATGCGCCAGATGCACCTCCAAGCCAATCGGAATCCATCTCTCGTACGATCCACTCCCACACGCGATGTTCCCACAGTTATCCGCGACTTCGAAACATCCCCGGCCTCAAGACTCAAGAAAGAGGGGCGCTGAATGTTTTGAACTGAACTCTTGCTGAAGCTGGGGCCCCGGAACATCATCAGAGAACTTAGAAGAGATGATTTTCCTCCCTCCAAGGACTTCCTAGGTTGTTCACGTCTTACTCGTACCACGTCACCCAATTATAGCATCACCCGCCTGTCAGCACGGTCATCAAGAATAGGTTGTCATCGATCGCTCCTCGACAGGCTCTCCTTTCCTACTGTATGCGGCGCTTAGTGTCTTCGCTTACTGTACAGTTCCAAAGCTTTCGTGTTCGTCTCATTCGCTGATTCGCCAATGTGTACCGTGCAGTAGTCCTCTACGCAAACTCGTCTGATCCTTCTTACCCCTGATTTATTTTAAAATCGGCATACTACGGAGTACACTCATAGCACAATGTTCGGACTTGTAGAAGTTGTTTTTTGTAACAGATTTTTGTACCTACTTCTCATGGGTTCATTGAGTTTGATTGTTTGAGGTCGCTTGCTTGTGTGGAGCGAGTACTTTGTTGACTCGAAAGCTTGGCAAGAATTATGCTTCAATTGAACGGGATTTTTGGAATTTGCAGTAGATGAGATTTATTGTGTTTTTCGGCCTTGTTTTTGACTTTTTGTTTATAAAAACAGAAATGATTTTTCTACTGTCTCTGCTTTGCTGAGTTGTATCTCCTCATCCCTCAATCCAGGTAAATTCAGCACCATCTTTCTGGTTTCAATGACAGTTGCCTTTAATCTGTTGTCAAATGAGATATACTTCAATATTTAAAATAATCAACAAAAGAAAAAGAATGACTATAATTTCACTCCTACTTCTCACCAAGCTTTTGGCTGCCCTTTTTCTTCTGTGTATTATTACCGCCCATCCACATCACACCCCTTCTCGGAAACAACAAGAAGTCTCGCCATATAGCAACTCTATCGAAAATATCACTACTATCTTGAATACAGAGGTAAACGCAAACCAATCTATCTTATCACCAATACCGTAGAGGGCGCACTTATAGCCTTGAAGTTTGGCAACGAAGTTTTGTTATCAGACGAGAGTCTCACGCCACCGCTAGCGAAAGTGTTGTTAAGACCACGGGAGATACGATTTCTATAGATAAGTTGGCTAGTCAAAGATCTGAGGAGCTGTGGACGTTGAAGGAAGTTTTGGTTCTCTCTTATTCCACAATCGTCACAAACGCAAAAATCAAAATGCAAGGTTAATGACAAGTACTCCGTAAGTTCAGTCAATCTTCTCATTTTCACCTCCCAATCCAATGATACTCTCCTTCCTATGCCGGACACCTCAATTCCAATATCAGGCGCATTTCTAACCTCTGTCGCTACAGTACATCTTAACAAAAATCTCCATGGCTAATGTAGCATCCACGGAATATCTATCAGCAATCTCCAGCTTCAAATTCTCTCATTCTAGCCCCTCGCCTCTTCGCCTCTCCATCCCACCCTCTAGACCAAACCAACCCCCCCC